ACTACTTTTGGCCTCGTGGTGGGCCCGTTTCGATCTTTCTCCATGGGTTGTGTCAAAGCAGAGTGCCTGCCCTTGAACATGTCGATGTTCTTTATGCCCTGGATCCTTCATTCGATGCGTCCTTCGGGACTCTTCTTGTCTCGGCTCCTCTCGTCCGACTTCCCTGGAAGGTCGGTGTGAGTGCCTTCCACTCCTGGTGTGCTGAGGGGCTTCGGGGATTGCTTTCCTTCCTCCATTCTGGGTGTTAATTACTGGCATCGGCGTATCTTGAAGCGGGTATGGTGGCTGCATAACATTGTTTTGCATCATGAAGTTGACCTCTGACTGTAGGTCTGCCAACTTGTTTGCCATGTCTTTTACTTCCTCATCTCTCCGTAGGCACCTATCCCTCCATACCTGAAGGTTATCTTCGTTATAATACTTGCTTTGGTCTGTTCGCTTTGAAGTACCGCCCTCCTGGCCGACGTCTTTCTCTCCGTGACCCTGGTCATGATTTTCTGCACTGTGGTTGTCTCCTTCAACGTCAAGATCAATTGGTCTGCCACTCCTAGCAGGAGTGTCGCCCCCAATATTTTTCCTTTGTCCATCACTGGCCATCTATTCTTCTAAGATTCCCACAGACGGCGCCAAATTGTGTGGGTAATTTTCTGACCACACTGCCCGCCTAGTAATCAGCTGGAGAGCACCGGCAGAATAGATGGCTTCAACAGACCTGTAACAAAAAGAAAAGGCTCCAACGGTGGCTCTTCCACCCGGGGGCACTCCGACGATTAAGTCAGTATATCTCTCAAAGATAATCAAGTGCTAAACTCACAAGCTTGAGTATAAAACTGCATACCTTAGACCCACGGGGGTGCCTTTCTTTTATAGTTTACTCAATCCAAGTCCTACTAGAAGCCTGACTTCTATGGACTCCAATTTAGTACTTACTTTGGATTCCTTAAAAGATAAAGATAAACTCCCTAAGAGCTTTATCCTTATCTTAGCAGAAGTCTTCTCTTTTCTCTAGGACTCTTGTCCATATCCAAGTTGAGTTCCCTCTTCATTCTAGGACTCTTGTCCCTTATCCGCTTATCTCGGATTCCGATATCTTCAGAGTCAACCTCGGCCTATCCATGATAACCTCGGCATAACTACCACGACACGTGGCACGTCGGTTGACACGTCGGCGTCACCATGCCACGTGTTGGTATTCAGAAAATATATCCCCACAACGGGCAAGGAAAAAAAGAGTACTGACCTTTTTTGTTATTTTAATGAAATTTTTAGAAGTGATTATTAATTGATTGCAAAATTTGATGGGTCAAATATTTTCCGTTTTTGTTTATCTCTCATGTGTCCTAATTTCTAGAAATAGCTGGTGCTGTATTCAATTGCCTAGATTCAATGTTGACTGTCGTTACCAGTCTTAGTGTCCAAGATCCATTCTTAACACTAATGGACAAGAATGATGTAAGTCACGCTTCCCATCTTTGTATGATTAGATATAATAGCCAACTCTCCTTCTATAAAATTTAATCTCAAGCCCCTTCATTTGAAATCCGTATATCTAAACGTAACCTCTGTGTGTGTATATTTATGCTAGTGATGGGTGTAAATGCGATGAGTTTGATGAATGAAGAAGATAAGTTGAATTTGAAAACTATTAGTAGTTATTAGCAGTTGACGGCATTCTTGAAAAAAAAAAAAGTGACAAAGCTTCAAAGCTATTCTGAGCTGTGTGCTCTATATAAAACAATATATATATATATATATATATATGATGTGTTTTTCAATATTGTCGCTAATTCCTTTCTTGTTTGCTTGAAAGTTATACTTTTCCTAAGCTTGTTAGATAACTATTATATGACAGGTGGATTATTTGTTAAAGTTATTTGTCATGTTTATTTGATTATGAGTCACAAATTAATTGGTCAAGATTATCTATTGTTTAAATTGTTTGAATAGTGGTAGAGGTCATTGTGTTATGAACCTAACTATGCTATTTAATAGTGTTCTGCAACTTAAGTAATACAACAACTTAACAGAAAAACAAAATGTAACAATTTAAGAAAGGTTGAAAACAGAAAAAATATATTATTGTGTAAAGAATTACAAAAGGTTTATGACTGCTATTTGGGGGGTTTGTTAAGCATTCAACTTTACCGCTAAAGAAGATGAAAATGGGAAGTAGTGTGGTATTGGAATCCCATTCTTTTTTTCTTTATTTATAAATCTGTTGTAGTTTTATCATCCCTATTTTGTGATTTTGCAATTCAAGTGTTGGAGTTCTTGGGCCTTTTCGCCAAATCTTATTGTTAGGTAAAATAACTTCATTTTTAGTTAGCTTTTGATTAAAGTTGACTCCACCAAAGCTACACTAAGTAAGCTTGAATAAGGCTAATTGAGCCTGAGCTAAGCTTCTTGTTAATCAATGAAAATTCCAGTGCTCTAAGCCTGGTACCTTCTTCTTCTTTCTTTCTTTCTTTTTTTTTTTTTTCAATTCTAAAACAAATAGATTGAAGTTTTTAGAGTTCTTAGATGTAGACACTTAGCTATGATTCTCAAAGCATATCAAAGCATATTGCTTATGCTTCATGTATTTGGATGGCTTGGTCAGGGCATTGGCCACATACTACCACATGCCACCATCTCTGGCAGCCTCCCAAACCTCCAACTGCACCCTCTAGTAACTCACATAACCCAGGGTTTTATTTGAGTCCTCTTTTTGGTACTATTTCTCATCAAACATGAGTTCAAAAGAGAAATATCCAAGATAAATGAGAAGAGGAAGTCCAAGATAAAAAGAAAAAAACAAACTACCCAACGAGTTGCTTATGCTGGTGCCAATACTGGTGCCAATGCTTTTTGGTTATTGTTTTCGCTGTATCTAATACTTGTACTCGATACTTGTATCTAAATTCATGTAACAAAGAGGTCAAAGCATGTCTAAATACCCAAGTGTATATTTTGTGGACACTTTGGCTACAAATTAAAGTTATGAATGAAGGTGTAAATTGAGTTGGTGGTAGAGAAAAATATGATTTGGCTTGAGCTCCCAATCTATGCCTGTCACTTGAGTGTGAGTTGGGGTCCATGGGGGACTTGGAGGGGAATGTAATATCATTAGACTGACATGAACTTTAGGACATGAAGCTTTAAAAAGTTCAATTAAAGTCACCTAGTTATTTCAATCATATATGCTATGTTTCACTGACTGTAAAATTCACTAATCATTGAAAACATGGCATTTCCTAGTGAGGCCTGACTTGGTCTATACCATTCTCTCTTGTACTATTTTTATATAGACTCGCGTACTGGTGTTTGGTTTGAGTTTGTGTCCAAGTGTCTAATTAGTCTAATTCCATGTTCAAGGACTTGGTCATCTTGTGTATAGAAATTAGAGTATTTTTTGGGGAAATTTGTGTTTGTTCTGAGTTATGATTGATGGGTTTTATTTTTTTGTTTCAATTTGATGCTGTTAAGTGTAGTAATTTGATGATTCAGAGCTTGGCTTAATTGTTTGGAAACTAATTTTTGTGTGTTCTTGAGCTGTGATACAGGGGAGCTGTTTTTCTTAGAATTTGATTATGTTGAAGAAGAAAAATTGTTCATTTAAGGGTTGGTATGTGAGGAAGGAAGGAAGGATACAATGTGATGAAGGAAGGATATGTTGTTACTTGGTTTGTTTGTTCTCATGTGAGTTGTATATCCTTACTTACTGGTTTTGTTCTCTTATATTTTGGCTACATGTACTCAGTGATGTGCCCTTGCAAGCTTTCCTTTCATGAAATTGTTAGTATTATGGGACCAGTTTATTCTCTCTCTCTCTCTCTCTCTCTCTCTCTCTCTCTTTCACATTGTTATACAGTTAATTCTTGTGTTTTGCATTGAATGACAACCCTATAAATAGGCTTCTCAGTTGCAGATCTTTCATCAAAACTGAATATAGTTCTTAATTTGTTCATTTACTAAGGAGTTAGTCCTAGTCCTGGTAATGGTAGCTAAAGTGAACTAGAGGTATATGTCTTGTATTCTTTGAACAAATTGTCATCAAAAGTGAATTTTATTAACTATTAATTGATTTATTCCATGAGTTGTTTCATTTTCAGGAGCGATTAAGAGGCAGTGGTGATGATATTGCAGCCGCAAGGATAGGTGCAAAGTTAAATGTTGTAGGGTGGATTTCTGAACAAATGGGTGGCGTTAGGTTAGCTATCTGGACTGTTATCTATTGATTTGAATTGCTTGTTTGACTGAATGGTGTATGGTGGTGTCATTTGTCAGCTTGTTGGTTTAAAATTTTCTTGCTATTGTATCTGGACGAGAACAAATTGTTGATTTTTAAGATTGTCGAGAGCTAGAATTCGGGGACACTAAGCGCGTGTATAGAGTAAGAGTCATCTGTTTCCTCCCCCCCTCTCTTTCTCTCTCTCTCTCTACCTTAGATTCTAATCTTTTGCAATTTAATATACAATAGCTTCCCATTCAAATCGACATTCAAATCTTCCTGTATGCTCCTTGTTTTTTTAATAACTTATTTCAGATTTGAGAGACAAATTCAAAGGATAGATTTGTCGAAACAAAGCAAAATCTAGTTCAAATCAAGGTAGTAATATGATAATTAGCATATAACCCAACCATACAAAATGTTCCATTGACTATCTATGAAATGACAATACTTCTCCAAGACTCCAAAAGCAAACAATATAATGAAAAGCTATACAAATTTATTATGGCCGTGGTAGTTTTCTTCACTTTGATTCTTATGTTTATAAATATATTTTTCTGTACTGCTAGTTATCTGTACTTGATACACTGATGCCTCTTGTATTTTTGTGCACTTATTATGCACATTATCCCATAGTAATTATGTAACACCCTGAAAATTGGGCAGGGTATATCTATTTATGTTACAAAACCCACCTGATAGACAAACACAAACACACACGCACACACACACACACACACACACACACATATATAGCTAACTATTTCATACATCCATTTCCATTAAATCCCAAATGCCAAATACATGCTATTCATATCTCAATGCCACAGTTCCAATCCCAAGCATACATTTTACAACAAGTATGAAATGGAAGCCCAATAGATAATAGGTGCCCTACAGGCTTACAAATTCATCCAAGAACATTCTTGGTTACACAAAATGGAGTTTCAACTCAACGTAAATATAGTCCTAGGCTTACATTCAACAAATAACAATAAAACAAAAAATGAAGCCTCAGCTCCGAGTCCTCCCAAGTCAATGCCTTGGCGGAGGCATAGCACCTGTACTTGAAATGGTTTCCCTTATAAGGTAAGCCACAACCCAGTAGAGATATACTACACAACATATGGACCATGACAAGACTAAAGAGGAGTATGCTCATGCCATACTCTTGATAAAACAATTTATCTCTCTTTTTATAAAGCATATAATGCTGAAATGCAACAACAGATATAAAACCATTTCCATTTTAAACCATATTTGTTACATAAATACAGGCTCGGTGAATCTCTAGGTGAGTGTCTGCAAGTAGGCCCTAATGCACTACCACTGTCATTTTTACCAATAAACTGGAAGGCTCGATACCTAACCGCGCGGTTATACACCCTCTACCCAGATTCACCAAGTATTCATCTTTTCAAAAACAGATACATTTCTAATCATTTCTCAAAAGCAGATATATTTCCAATGAAATGAATGTAATGCAATGTCCAATACAACAAATGAGGAATGTGGTTCAATTTACCTAAGTCTCATGCATTTCTACAACAATCATGGCTATTATCCACCGATAGCCCAAAACAGATATTTCTAAACAGAAATTTAAACAATTAAATTCCAAAAAAATTCTGATAAATACAATCTATTCCACATCTCATCAAATATGAACAACTACACTAGTTTTCATATCACAATCACGTTCGGTAATCTCTCAAGGTCTATTTCTAATCGTGTCGGTTTTATTCCAACAGATACATTAAGCAAAATGATACCGTTAATGCCCAAGAAAATATCATTTTCTTTCCAAACTCATTCTCCAAGAATTATTCAAGTATGACATCTTATTTTGATCAAAAGTCCCAAAAGCTAAACGTAATTCCTTTATTTTCTTTAAAAATGCTCTTTTGGTCGCAAAACGGTAAAAATTTCAAAACCAATTGAATCGAAGTCCGTTTTTGTTCAAATTTAAAACATAGCTCTTTCATAACCTTACAAACATATTCCGAGTTTACACTTTCGCAATTTGGGCATCAACTCTTTATTTTTCTCAAAATTTCTCTTTTAAGCAAACAAATCACAAATTTTTCAAAAATTCTAATTAAATTATATACAACTCTAAGCTCCATATAATCAAGTAAAAGTACATAAAGAAGTGTAGGAAAAATCCCTACCTCAAGCCAAGAAGCTTTCAAATTTTTTGGCAACAGAAATTAAATCTGCTCTGAGCCAAACGACGCCTTTTCCGCCCTCTACGTTTTGATCCAAAGCACTAGGGGTCAAAAATGACTTATACTAGATCAAACCCATGAAAAACCAACATTGGAATTCTTTTTCTCTTCTTTTCACGGCAAGACCTCCCAAGAACTCCCAAAAGTTGAATAAAAAATCCTTTTGGTTACTTTTATAGATATTTCCTAAACAAATATCTAACTATATATATACACCTATATATATATCAATTAAAATTACATTTCAACATCTTTAATGACAAAAGTAAATATAATATTTTCTCACCACAAAATATATTTCGTTTAATGGTACACACTATAAATATTCACAACTCTTTTATGGTAATTAAATAAAAATAATAAAACCACAACAATATTACATGGTTACTAACGGGTCACAATTTAATCAATTGGTTCCAAAATGAATAGAGTTTAATAATTTAAAATAAATCCCCAATTGATTTATCTCAAATCATAGTTCGAACACCCAAAACTCAATTTGAAATTCTACTATAAATTAAACTGAACACCAATCAGTCCGTGAATTTTCATAAAATAAATACTCATCATTAAATTATGAAATTTTTATCCAACGTGATAGACTCATACACTACAGGAAATTAGAGTTTTAGCGGCGTTTCAAAAACGCCACCAAATGTTACAGCGACGTTTAATATTTTCGTCGCTGATACGGCCGCCGCAATAGCTTTGCAACGTTTAAAAAACGTCGCTAAAAATATTAGACGACGTTTTTGAAAACGCCGCAAAATCTTTGACATTGTTGGAACCTCCGTTAGTAACAGATAACGTCACAATGACGTCATTTAGTGGCGTTTTTACCAAAAACGCCATTTATTTATTTATTTTTTGGGTGTGTGTTATCATATAAAACTGAAAAAACAGACCAACTCAGTTCCCATCAGTTGCTTTTGCAACAACACATACCAATGAAGCAAAGATGACATACTATTCAATCCAAAGTACCAATAAAAATCAACAGCTTTAAGCATCAATACAAATTAACAGCTTTAAGCATCAATACAAATTAACAGCTTTAAGCATCAATACAAATTAACAGCTTTAAGCATCAATACAAATTAACAGCTTTAAGCATCAATACAAATTAACAGCTTTAAGCATCAATACAAATTAACAGCTTTAAGCATCAATACAAATTAACAGCTTTAAGCATCAATACAAATTAACAGCTTTAAGCATCAATACAAATTAACAACTAGTAGCAAATCTAACAACAATACACAATACTCTAAATAGCAATTCACTACATCAAGCAGTTCCAAAAGCTGCTTCTCACAACTGGTCACATCAACCCAAACTTCCACCTGAGTTGTCGGCTTGTCTCCAAGGTGTTCAGAATTTGCAAGTGTATGCCGATTAGCACCAATATTGACATCTAAGATTTCATTTCACTGCATCACATTGATTAATCAAATGCACAGAAATCTCCAGCTTAAAATCTTACTGTATGTTAACCCCAAAAATAATGAAATCACAGATTTCAACAATGTATTTCATAACTATAAATTACATTAAGTGAAATGTTACACCATGTCTTTTGATTCTAAATATGATGTAGAACATGCGGTGTCAGTTAGTTTAGGCATCCAGTCAAAGTTACAAATTTGGGCCAGAACCACCCATGTTCGATCTGAAACAGCCCAACAACAAAAATTCACTGCTTCACCGTGACCTAAGCCACCAAAGTCTCTCATTTTGGCTCCCAAATTCACATTTGTTCCCCTTTCTAGAAAGTTTTAATTTAGTTATGACTTAATTTAGGAGTTTTCTTTTTTTTTTTTTTGACACTTTTCTTATACTTTATAGTATCTCAGTTTGAATCTAATAGAAATTTGCAATTGTTAAATTAACAATAAACACAACCAAAAGAGTGATCAAATTCATAGAATGAAAATGACTGTTAAAGCACGATCAATATCCAATAATCACTAGTAATGATACAAATCCATCCATGGCTCACATGGGAGGCAGAGCATGTACACTCAAGGGTATTCAATAGAATACCCTGATTTTTTTTTTTTTTTTTTGAGGTTTCATATATGTTTATCAGTAATGAATCAAGATTTTGAATACCCAATTCTTAGATCTTGAACACCTAATTTGTTGATTTCAATTTTTGCACACCCAACTCACATTCCACTTGAGTAATATTCAAGATCAAAAAACAATCCTCAAACAAAAAAGAAAAAGCCTAATACTATAGAAACCAAACATAAACTTGAACACAAAAAATGTATGAATGGAAAAGATTTTTCAAAAGTGCACCAATCAATCTTGTAAAATCTCATCCATTCATACATTTTGTGTTCAGTTCTATGTTTGATATCTGTGTTCCTATTTATTTTTCAAATAAAATAAAGGTACCAAACAAATAGCTCTCTTAGTAAATGTAGCTTATGTCAAATTAGGACATAAAATTTGTAAAGAATTGATTGCGTAACGAAATGGGATATTAATGAAAAAATGATTGTTTAGTTACTTACATTGAAAATAATTTATTCAATAGTATTTTGCTTGTGATTTGAGAAGTTCAAATTGGAAGATTTATTAGTAGTGGGAAATAACCACTGATAAGTGTATTCTTTTTATACAAATTCTAATTTAAGTTCAAGTTTTTGAATACCCTAACCAAGTTTTTGAATACCGTAATTGAATCTTATACTTAAAGAACTTAAAGAATGAAATAGTCCATTAACATCTAGCATGACAGATATATAATCACAATGCCAACTGCAATCATCAAAAAATAATTCTTGGTTTTCCTTGGTTTACAAACTCGCTCTGACAAATGCGATTCTCTTGGCAGCAACATAAAATTAGGTTTCACTTAAGCTTTAAGCTTCAATTATGCCACAATCTAATAAAATTCATACACCAACACTATGTATATATAAGGCTAATGACTAAAAATAAACAGATATACTCAAAATAACTCATGAACAGATTTAAACTCCTAAATAACTCAAACTCCCAATTATT